TGTTAGTAACATTTCGAGAATTACATAGCAAAAAAGAAAATTCATGAGCTCGAAAATGCTTATCTAGCTATCGATGTGAAGGAGGAGCGCTGGCCCCTGCGCATTCTGCATTGCTTACTTCGGGAGCAACGTGGACGGGGTTATCATAAATAGGTCCTGCCTCGGTTACACGATCGGTGACCGGACAATAAACGTAGGCTTTCTTGTTGATCTTGTTATACTTCAAGTAATATGGCTGCCCAGTGCTTTTCGCGAAATTTAAAAGCTTTTTCTGCACGTGGCGCGTGGCCTTGCAGAAATCTTCGCTAACTGACACGGGGGTGCTGCGAAGCATCGATTTCTTAGTAAAGACACTTTTTCTTGTTTTAAACGAACTGAAGCGAACAATAACAGGTCGACATTTGTTCTGTACATATGTTCCAAGCCTGTGTGCACGGGAGATGGCTTCATTAGGAAGTTCCAGTTTAAGAGACGCAGACAGGATTTCACGAATTTTTAGCTCCGACTCGGCCCAGGTTTCTGAGGCAGAATCCAATATCCCATAAAAAATTAGGTTCTCCCTACGAGAGCGATCCTCGAAGTCATCAAGCCGTGAACTGAGAGCGACACTTTCGTGTCGCACGGCAGCCGTTACAAGACCTTGTATCTGTGCATTGTCGGGAACGCTCTCGAGGGTAAGAACCTTCTGTTCAAGTACAGTTAGTCGGGTGGTTAAATCTGTTACTTTGGCATCAAGTAGCAACTGGTTTTCTTTAACTTCGTTAATAGTCTTCTGCAAGTTGTCATGACGCTCATCCAAGTGTGCGGTTAGTTTGCTGATGGCGGCTAATACTTCGCTATTCGGACCAGGATTCTGTTCAATATCCCCGCAAAGAAGAAGTTCCTTTATAACAACAAAACACTCTGCGACTATATCAAGCAACACATGTGGGCATGGAAGGAGCAGCAGACAATAGTTGCTAGATCGCTTAGCGCTATAATCTTGGAAGGGACCAACCTGTACAAAAAGCAAAAAGTGGTTGGATGAGACCATGGTGGCGGCCGCTCCGTTCCACTGCCCACTGAGGCGCGCGGTGCAAGGTTGGCTGTATTTGTAGTTTTCTGGGTGGCTTGACGATGTCGATGCGGTTGGCTTGGTGGCAGCGTTAGGGGTTACCGGAACGGGAGGTTGAAGTGGCTCCGGGCAACAACGGCTCGGTTCGGGCTGGGGAGGGCACGTGCCGTTTGGCGTGCCAGGCGCATGTGGTTCCACGCAGTCTGGCGAGCTCGTGCTGATGACTGCGAACAACTGTACAAAAAGCAAAAAGTGGTTGGATGAGACCATGGTGGCGGCCGCTCCGTTCCACTGCCCACTTTACAGTCGAGTTTTGTCATTGAACATCATGTCTTTCAGTAAGCGCCAACTCCGGCTAGAAAATATAATTGTGTAACGTCTACAACATTACAAAGCGATTGATTGATTGATTGATTGATTGATTGATTGATTGATTGATTGATTGATTGATTGATTGATTTGTGGGGTTTAACGTCCCAAAACCATACAAAGCGACTAAGACACAAATGAAACACATTGGGTGGGACCATACTGGTTAATTTGATCACGCTTGCTTGTGCAGTGCTGGTTTAATGAATGTGGGTCAATTTCATTGAAACATTTGGAGTACTTGCCTTATTTTTTATTAGAAAATACCTTTTTGAGCTCATGTTTCAGTAAGGCATTCCCCCATTCTGATTCTAACTGCTCCGGAAATTGAAGATACTAAGGCGTGCCTTGCGTTCCATAAACTTAGCCTAGTTTCGGTTTCTTAATTGGGCTCTTTTAAAAAAACGCCTCATCTTGTTTATTTGTTTTAGTCGACTGTTATGTAGACCTTTCCGAACTTATTTTGAAAGTTCAGTCATGTTTGGACCGCGACTTACACTCTTTCTGAGCAATGCTGTCTTACCCAGTCATCGCTCTTTTACGTTTCAGGTCTTTGTGTGCGGCCTTGATATTCTTCGCGGTCGCGTGCGCCAGCTGCTGTCATGGTACGTTACTGCTCCCGTAAAATAGAATTCTGATAGCGTGAACGGTGTAGCGATCCTTGATCGTGGGCCACAGGTCGGGTCAATAAACGACCGCGATAGCATTAAGCCTGCCCTTATCGCATCATTACAGATGTTGCTCAATCGCCATCACCTTGTAAACGCTGCGCCCACACACTCCGAATTCGCTTCTACGACGTGTTAAACTAAATCAAATGTTCGTCCATAGGGTTCACTTTTCCAAAATGGCTCACACTAAGAAAGACGTCGTAGTGAAAAGCGCCAAATAATTTCATACACCTGAGATTCTTCAACGTTCTCTCACATCGAACATTACCTTTGATATGACATGATATGTCATCACACTTAGTAATTCGCCTTAACGAAAATGTGACCACCGCTGCCGAAATCTAACCAATTATGTTTGCTTGCTTTGACATTTCATGTGAAACTAAGATTATCTGGTCTACAAGGACTGAATGAAGCGTGAGCTGACGGGCATGTTCCTTCAGGCACATTAAAATCTTGCAGAAACTAAACTTCAAACGCAAACTTCCGTTTCATTTTGTCTCGGCTATCGGTGCTCGCTCACGCAAGCTCAACTTTAGAATCGTGCAAACGTAGCACTCGAAACCTGTGGCAATTATCAGAATAGTGGACTGCGAATCGACTTGCCTCTCGCGCAGCCCGTATCGGCGAACTAAAATTGTGTGTGATGTGGTAACCTTGTGTAAACCGCTGCAGCGCCTTGAAGCGACTGATGCTTGGTAGTCTAAATATATCACTTGCACTTTCGCAAAGCACACTGCCTACATACGTATGCTTAATTTTTCCTTGACACAAAATGAAAGTATTGATCCTTTATTTTGCTTGTATTAACCAATAATTTTTATGACCGCCACTAAGCCATAGGAGGAAAACAGCAGCCGAGACCAGTGCAAGCCATCATGTATCCTTGCATTTATTTTATAAAAGTTTATTCTTCATTTTCGGCATAAGGAGGCAATGTGGAAAACGCAGTCTTTTAAACAAAAAAACTTTCTGACAATCTTGAGCTCTCGGCACACATTAGGCAGCTCAAGGTCGTACTTATATGGAACAGTACTCGCGACACGTACTCGGCATTCCTGTCAAGCAGTCCTACAAGGCGAACTAAGAGCGTTGTTTTAATCTTATATACATGAGCACTCACATTATTTTTGGCCTATTTTACGATATTGCGATAAATTCAAGCTTAGGGTATATTGTAATTTCTACCATGAATAATTTATTGGCTAGATGTCATGTGGTCAAATTTTTTACGCTTGGAATTAAGGAAAGGATGAAATTACAACGCTAAAATTGTCATCTTATTTACTTGAACGAACCTCTGTTGTGAATTTTCCTCTCGCGTGAGTACTGCAAATTGAAGGTATTCTGTGTAAGTGGGCTAATATACGAAAATAATTTCCATTCTTCTTTAATTGCGGTAGTGATCTTATGGATACTCAGCTGGATTTTGCCGCCAGAGTCAGTATTGTTGTCGCTCATTCTCGATGTATACGTATCTAGATATGTTCAACCACAGAAAAAAACACAAGAACGGCCGCCCTCAGAATGGTGAGTGCGAGGCGTTAGCCACTGAGCCACGAAGGAGTACATCTGCTACGTCGTTCAAATGGCAGGCTATTTATATCTACCATTTACCGCTAGTAATGTGATGGGCATGTCGGGGGAACTGTCGTGTTTTTAGATTTACCAGCGAGATGGCGCAATGAGTGCACGTCGTCACATCGTCCCAAAGCGGTGGCGCGCGCTTCTCATCTCCCAAGCGTACTTTGCTCCGCGGAGAGAGGGCAGGGTGCCCACTCAAGCGCTTGCTTGCTTATCTTGCGGTGGGGACAATCGTACGCCTTGGCTGGCCTTGGGCTTTCAGCGGAACAATTAGGTTGTAGTTACCGGGTGCACAAATGTGACTTTAATAGTTGCACAGTTTCCATTTGCGAAAAGGGGCGTGTTTTTCAGACACAGCGAAGTACCAACTGATACTCTTATTCGCGTTCATTTGTACCTGCGAGTACGTATTGTGCGTCATTTGTGCGTGAGAAACGTGGGGCACGTTCCGATTTGCTTGCCATTCTGCGCGTGACTTTCCAACTAGTTGCTACAGCATTCATTGCGTTGCCTTTGCAGCAAAGCTGTGACTTTTTTTAAGAATGAAGAACTCGACATACACACACACCTCTGTTTTACGTCATGCAGTTGTAGTCAGTGCTAATGAGTCAGTCCAGATGTGCAAATCAGCAAATTAACCGAGACTTGCGTGTGAGCATATATGTTGATCTTGGCGAACTGATGCCCTGCCGAGGAGCAACGGCACAAAGACCCCACAACACTACAGTGTTTGCTGCCATCGCGCAATCATTAAAAATGCTTTAAGTACAGCTGGGGCTCTTCGGTCGCAGAGTCTCTCGGTGCAAGTAAATCGCAAAGGAAAACGTAAACCGCCTACCACGCGAAGTTTCCGGAACCGTAGTGCAATGCAACGCGCACAAAAGTGCCATTCATTAGGTTCGTTTCCCGCTAACAGGTGGCGCAAGAAATGACAAGCGTGTACAACTGGGCGGAAATAGCGTACTGTTAAGTTTTACCAACGTCGGGTCTGATTCGCATACCTAGATCGTAAGAGAAGTTTAGCGACTGGTGTTATGAAAAAAAACTCTAGGCGTAATAACCAGAAAAAAGAATTAACACCATTGGAATCGGTATTAGCTGTACGGACGCTTGCCGGCGATTTGCTGCATGTAAAGGCACCGCGATTTCCTCTGTAAACACCGATGTTGCTTGCTTCCCCCGGGACTGGATTTTCCTGGTCGAATGGCACACGCAGACAGGACAGTGCATATTCCCCTGAGTGTAGAACCACTCATTTAGCTCCTGTGCTCACTGAACATGTTTGTTTTTTTCTTCACTCTGTTTTGTTCCACCTGCTGCAGCGCAGACCACAAAGCATACGTTCTACACGTTTTGCTTCTGGGACGCCTTCGCACGGTGGCGGCCGGCGCCACACAACTTCACCGTCAGCGACATTCCCGCCGAGTTGTGCGATGCAGTGATCTATTCCCACGTGACCATCGACAACAACACCGGCTCGGTAAAGCTCACGGAAAAAGAATTGCAGCTAGGTAACGACGCTGCCTTGTTATTACTTGTTCATCTCTACGTATTTCTTTTTTGCGCTCTATCTCAGTTGGTTTGCGCTGCCGTTCGAGTACGTATTCCAGCCGACTGTTTCTAGTACTAGCGTTAACTAAAGTTGTGTAGAATGCGTCCTCTCATATAGTAGGCAGTATGACAGGGACACAAAGGTACATGCTGGGACATTCACTGGAACCTGAATGGCACCAACACACGCCTATATGGAGGTATTCCTCTTCTGTTTCGCTAGTTTGTGAGCTGGTTAGTTCGTTAGTCAGTTAGGTAATCGGCTAGTTAGTTAGTTAGTTAGTTAGTTAGTTAGTTAGTTAGTTAGTTAGTTAGTTAGTTAGTTAGTTAGTTAGTTAGTTAGTTAGTTAGTTAGTTAGTTTTGTTTGTTTCCCTTCTTGATCCAATAGGGCGGCGACTATTAGGTAGAAGGCTTCATCACTCGCAGTAAATTGAACAATCTATATAACAGCGCATATGTATCTCGGTGAAGGAGCAAACAAATACCGAGTCCATACACAACAAAGAGAATACGCAATTCAAAACATCAGGTAAACACTGCAAGATCTCAAGGGTACCGTGTAGGCGCTATACGTTTTATGGATTTTTGGTCATGTTGATGTACCTTTTTTAAGGTATCACAAAGCATATTCACAAGATCCAAAAATCATATTTTTTCACAATTTTCCGCTCTTTTAACTGAAGGAGGTTTTAAAAAACTTACAGCTGCTGCCAATGCCTCATTCTGAGGTATAGTTGTGACTTGTACGTATGAAAGAAAAAAAATGTTAAGAAAGCAGACCGTTATTAAATGCGCTCTTTGCAACGCAATCAGACAGTAATACGAAGAAAAAAAGTAAAAAAAAATGACAAGCCACGCTGAAAAAAAAGTGTCTTTTTTTTAAGTCTTTAACAGTTCTCGCTCTCATCAAGAGAATGGCTTGTAGCCCCCTCGATCTTCGCCTTCCTAGTAACACCTTGCTTTTCGGATTGTTGATTCATTCTTTAAGCGTGTGTAGACACCATGAGAAAAACGCGGACGGATAAGAAACATGCAGAAAACGCAAGCGTAGTCTTGTTTTCGTGTTTCTTAAACATCCGCGTTTCTTCCCATTGTACTCCCGAATTTCTTTTGGGCACATATTAGGTACAGCGACTTATCATTTGAAGTACAGAAGCAACCAAGTACTTCTACGTCATTTGTATTCATATTGCCTCGCACGCTCCTTTGTTTCTGAGTTTCGTGTTGCTGAACAATTGCTTGTGTAAATACTACCCTGTTAAAATCGAGCGGAAATGTATGGGAGCCTTCCAAATCATTTTGGTAACGTTTGGTTAGGCTTGAGCACGAACTTCAACCACGGAATCCCTTCTAGAACAAACGCGACCACCAGTAATAATACTCGAATGTTCGACGCCGCTTGTTTAAATGCCGACGCCCCCTCTTGGGTTACTTTATCAACCACCGATGCTCTATTCGCCGTTGTCACTGTACAGCGTGTATTCCGGCGATCTGGCCTTCCGTATCACGGCTACAAGTTCGGCCAAATGAAGAGTTTTATAAGGACTTGTTTTGGGCTAGTTGGTGCATACTTGGTGCGGAAGACTGAGGCGCAAAAAACATATCGTGAAGCAGGAAGAGCAAGAGAGCAGGCGCTGTTCTGTCTTCTCTCCTGCTCTTCCTGCGTCATGATATCTTTTTTGCGCCTCAGTCTTCTGCACGAAGAGTTTCGTCTTAGACAGAGAAACTTGGTTCATGTCACAAATACGTGTCGATATCTACTCCGAGCGATCACTCAAGACAGTGTTGACACATCCTTTGGCGTGCACATGCATACCTATAAGGGGTGGGGCAGAGGTTCGCGACAACGCTGCCCTATTTTAAGTCAAAGTATGGGGCAGATTTTGAACCCACCCCCCTCTTCTTGCGCACACCTATAGACACATTACGTGAATACAGAGTCTGAATCCTATCCCCAGAGATTTTGAAACATGCAGCAGTAAGCTTTTCTTCTTTTTTTTTAGACCCAGAGGCCAAGTCTTACTCAAAATCTGGAATGTACAATCCCATATGGATGCTACCCCCACATCGTAAGTGAACGCGCTGTCTCTTCTATGAATAGTATGAAAGTAATATTTTGCGTATGGTTATGGTATTCACAGCAGCCACACGCTGTTTCCTTGATTAACAACTTTTCTTTTTCTATGACCAGCATCTAAAGCCTGCTGTGAGAACCTTCTCAAAAGTTTAATCTTCAGTGTGCTTTCTGCAGGTGTCTTAAAAGTGGTGCGACGAACGCATCGAGAAACCAGCATAGCATACTATTCGTTTTTTTATAGGGCGCATGAATAGAACATAAATTCCTCTATTTAACCACAAACGTAGCCTTACAACCTTCTAATGCCCATTTCACGGGGGGCACCGTTGGGAACAGAAACACGAGTTGAGTTTACATTGGATGTCGTCTGCATACATGCGCCCTTGCAGGTTATTTCATGCGATCTTGTGAAATCAAATCTGCCTCACCACTGGCTGGTACTATGTCACGTGAGGGGGAAAGGTCAAGGTACCTTAGCTAAAATTTTGATATGTTCTATGGTCACTACAGGTAGCGCACGTTTTGTCATCTTTTTGATGGAATTCTCCATAACTGAGCCACTTGTTCATAGTCACCAAACTGGACAATGCTACATGTTCATCTTGTTGTTAAATTCAATAGTATCGTTCGTTACTCTCGAAAACCATTATTGTTATGTTTTAGCTTATTTTTAAAAATCAGCAGGGCCATCTGTAGACTCTCCCTTGCAGTTTCGATAAACTCGGCATCAGACTGTGTTTTATGCAGCGAAATTTTCAGCCTTACTCATACCACATAATGGCCTTTTTTAACGACTGCCACTGTGTTCTCTTTGTTTATCTTGCGTTACTATAGCAAGTGTATATAATACCTGCTTGAAAAAGCAAACAAAAGAAACACGCCCATGCAGTCTTGCACTAGCGTGCGTATTTCAATAAAGCAAGTATACGTACTTCCCCTTATCTTAATCTGCTATGTGTGTTTAGAAAAAGTGGTAAACGATTTAGAGTACTCGATACTCTACTATGGGAGAGCTGAAAGCCGTCCCTATGCTATCCGCTATCCAAATCTGCTATGAACTGCCGCTCGAAACTACTGAGCAAAAACTATATGTCATTCTCTGATGAATCGCAATCGATTGCCAACACGTTCAAGCTCCAAACTTAAGCTGCTTCCTGCGTTACGTCACCTGGTTGTTTCCTATTCTCCTGTCTTGGTTTCGCCCAAAATGTTGCAGGTTCCAGTTTTCTTATTGCTTTATTACTTTTTTTTTTCTCCACAAGGCGCCTTCCGCGAAATGAGCGAGCTGAAGAAGCGTAACCCGAAGCTGAAGCTACTGCTCGCCATAGGAGGCCCGCACGAGACGATCGATCGCTACTGGCAGTTCATACCACAGATGCACCTCTGGCGATACATGGTGATCAGCATCGCGCAGTGGGTCAAGACGTATGGCTTCGACGGCATCGTCCTCGACTTCTTCTCGGGCTCGAGGACAGCGAAAGACCACGAGTGGAAGTGGGAGACTGCTAAGCTGATTGACCCTTTCATTTGGGTAAGGCTTATCTAAGACTCAGAGTATGAGGTTCACGTTTCTAAGAAACATGCAAGGCTCGGGCGTGTTCCAACACGAGAGGTTGCTACGAACACGGCTTTTTCTCTACTTAACAAAGACGTGAGCAAGAAAAGGACATGCAGTTTCCGAAATTTTGCAACCTGCATGTTCGCTTCAAACTCTAACACCCCACTTCAAACTTGCATTACTCGGCGTTTTAATTTTTTATTTTACTCGTAAAAGGAATACATGACACGCTAAAAAACGTTTCTGCATTCAATGGAAAATGGCCTTTCAAAAATGAAAAAAAGCGTTTGTTATTGAGTCACTTTCAATTATGGTTCCGTAACAATTGTGTGCACTACTCCTATGATTGCTTCTATGATGTTAAAATAAGCGAGCTCTTTTTTTTTGTCATTCTGTGTTTGATTTCATTGTAACGTGATACTTTTGCTGAAACACTTCAGACTTAGATTTTTTTTTCCTTTTCAATGTTCTGTTGCATCGTTCTCTTTTAGCTTCAATGAATGAAACGAAATTAACTTTATTTGGACCAGGCTCTTTGTGCTTCAGCCCTAACGTGGATGGCCTCCTCAGTCCAGGTAGCCATGACTCGCTGCCGCCGCTCGAGCCCAGTTCACCAATCGTAGCTGCTTGTCAGAGTCTTGCGTCACCAGTAAAGCCTCCCACTGGTCTTCGAATGCTTCCTCTTTATCCGTTTGTTCCATTTTGTTTGCGTTTGCACTTGTCGGTGACGACGGTGGTATGTTCGGATTATTGCGACACTCCAGCACCATGTGGCGCAGAGTTTTGCGCGTGTCTGGGGGGCAAAACTTGTAGTCCCGCCTGAACGTTCATGGATACATAGCGTGCATGGATGTTCCTTACGGGTAAGTTCCAGCTTGTAGTCTTCTCTATATCACCGCTTATTCTCTACTCAGACTCTTGTGTGCTGGCGGTTACCACTTCTTCTACTCCCTGTAGTGTGCCAAAATGTCTGCATACTTCTTCGGTATGCACTCATGCTCGTCGTGACAGCCGTCGGTCCGTGATGCCAGCGTGTCGGAGATGGCTTGGCGTGCATAATCTCGAGTCACGACGTGCGCCGCCTGGTTCCCCGCGAGAGACTCGTGTCCCGGTGTCCAAAGGATGGTTATTTCGTCCACCTTGGTGCTTTTTAAGACATGTAGTGCTGCGTTTCCAATCCTTCTGTTCATGAAATTGAACTGCTCTGGCACCTTTGGCTTCCACAACACCAAGAACACAGAATCTAAAAATTGTGCGAATGCGAAAGAAGGTTCGCAAGAAAATTTTTAAGGGTTATGTTACCAGCTAAGCATGACGTAATGCATTTCTGGCGGTATAATAAGTGGCATACGTAATCTTATTTATCGCTTAATACGTAATGCCTTGAATTTCGAAGGAGCGAAATATAGAAGCTCTGAAAACAGTACGAACACATGCAACAAATTGCCTTATGCAAAAGGTCCAATGCACCATGAAGCGCCTGTTCTGAAACACTTGAGAATCGTTTACCTTAAAGTGGTGAAAGCGTGTTGGTGCTTTGACGAAAACTCGTAACAGAAAGCACAAATGTGGGACGCTTATTTGCTTTTGAGGTATTCTTTCTTCTCATCGCGAAATCTTAGACACTCAATTTTAAAGAACAACCTAATTACTGTAATTAAATGTAGAATTTAGCAATGGCACTTATACGAATTCATGTCGTTTTGTTCAGCAGTTAAAAGAAGCTGCATTTGACGATTTCCTTTATTCTGACAGTTACGACAACTACCGTCCTTCAATATTCTTTTCTTGTTGCGTTCATTTCTATGCTGCGCACGTTTCCACTTCCCAAACTTGTGAGGCAGCTTCACGTTCAGTCACTTACCCGTTTATTTGCAGGAAATACGCCAGAGGTTCAAGCAATATTTGCCAAACTGGCACATCATCCTGACGCTGCCCGCATTCGACAGTTCCAATCACTACCTGTTCGACATCAATAGACTCTCACAGTAAGTAGTGATCAGGCTTTGTTCAGAGGATGTGACGTGCAGGATACCAGCAGTAATAAAAAGTTTTTCCTTAAAAACAACGGCATTCTTGGCCGTCCCTATGGCGCACTTAGGCTTCGTTTTCTTGTTAGCTCATAGTGCATATTCATGTGACTGGTTATTTTGTTCATTATTTCCTATGTGTTGCCTGTTCTTCATGTTTTCAGGTGCTGCAAAATATGACGCGGAGCAAAAAAAAAACAAAAAGCTGCACAGGCTATTGCCCAATACAGGGGGATCGAGCGTCAACCAGTGTTGTTTCTCATGTCTTTCTTGTCCGAGCCATGTCCGAGCACCAAAACATAATACGTGCCAACTAGCTCTATGCAGTTTTAAAAGATTGTTCTTAAACATTTATTTTTTAACAACACATTTGTATACAATATGCTTTAGCAATAAGTATGCTCATTTGACTGTTATTCTAACTTAGCTGTTGTGTTAAGCTGTAAATTGTGTGCCCTGCGTGTTCGTTGTGCTTGGAAAAAATGTGGACACAACATGCTTTATGTTCGACACCTTAACATATAGGTAGTATTAGAATAACTGTATATGTTACCTCTAGGCATCAGAGTAGCACATTCGTTTTTAAACGCCGCGAGCCATCGTGCACTGAGGAAAAATTGGTGCACAGGCCGCACCACTGAAAGCTGTCGCCGTCCACCTGGAATCTATCGAGTCACCATCGTGCGATCGTTAGTCACGAGCTGGTGATCTTATTTGCACTAAATAAATGTCCTTAAGCTTCGACAGCAAAGTATTTGCTTGGATTCAGCACCATTTTCCAAAGACATACTGAAATAATCAATGCCGTAGACTTGGTGGGGCGCTTTTTGAATCTCGGAAGAGCTATATTTTGTATTTGAGACTGGTCGCTTATCTTTCATAGCTGGCGCCCCTTGACCATACGGCAGTGGCGGTGCATGGTGTTCGGCACTGCGCTACGCCTTTACTTTTTGCGTTACCGGCCAGACTAACAAAATGCTTTTGAACTCCCGTGGCAGAGTCCCGAAAACAGATGTTTCTTCTTTCTCCGCCGGTCGTTGACACGCCATGCACGTTGACTGGCGATCAGTGACAGGCTTCGTCGATCGGCGACAGGCTTAAGCAAGTTGCTTACAAAAGCAGAGCGTGCCATGGCTTTTCCGCGTAACTGCAGTTGCTAAGCAGGGCAAGGTGGCGGACCTATGCGGTACTCTGCTCCCGTATGAAGCCTATTCACCTTTTCATAAACGCCTCCCTGGGCGCCGCCATAGCCCTCCTTGGGCTGTGCAAATTGGCGCGTCCCCTCGAAAATGCACTGACAACGCTGCGCCCTTAGCCTTTGTACTCCCGCGCACAGCCCATCATGGCGGTGTTTTTTTTTTTCCTTCCTGTGAAAAGGTGTATACTAGCTAGTAGCTGGTGCCATATTTGTGCACCAAGATTTTGCATATTTCCAATAAAAGTATTAATATTATCTGGTGCTTTACGTGCCGAAAATCCCTATACGATCATAAGGGACGCCATCGGGAAAGGCGCTGGAATTAATGATCACCTGTGGTTCTTTAGTGTGCACTGACATCAATCATTGCACAGGCCTCTCGCGTTTCGCTTCCACTGAAATCCACGCGCCGCGTCCAAGATCAAACTCACAGCCACCGGGTCCGCAAAAGAGCATCGCAACTGCTACGCCAATGCGGCGGACGTGCAGAATATCAGAATGCGCTCTCTCTGAATTTCTGCGCAGCGTGTACATATGGTAAGCGCTCGTAACGCGGTAAAAGAATACGTTTGAATTGCGACGCTGTTTCGCGCATTTATTAAATGTGTTAGTTTCGTTGCATAGTGCAGATATAACGGGTTGGCAAACCTTTTATCCAATATTTCTCTGACTACGTAGGCCTGCATATACACTAGTGGGTTTTCTACACACAAACTCCAAGCTTAAATATTGTATATTGTGCGTCGGCTTAGGCGAGCTCGCGCTTATATTTAGGTACACGTTAAAGGAACCAAGTTGGGGTCTGAACGTCGTCTCGTAATGATGTGGTCATTTCGCGAACCAAAATCTGGAGCATTATCGCTGTTAGATTTGTCTTTCTTTTCTGACCTCTTGTAAACGTTACGTCCACGCCAGTGTACACAATTTTGTGTCATCTATTCGGCTATGAAAAGCGGGTGTGGTAAGCCGAAATAATGTGGCATTAGGGGGCGGTAGATGCTAGTGACGACCTATGTCAAATGTGTATTTATCTTTCTCACCTGACTTTCCAAGAGCGCCATAGTTGGAGTAAGACACATTAACCCGTCACCACTGAAAATAGGGATCGGGCGCATGTAGATGCAAAATGCACCTGATTACGCGTAAGGCTAGGATGAAACAGACAGGTGAAATGCTGTACGATGCTAAACATGTCATCGTTCTATGTACGCCGAAAGTCGCACTGTGCCTTATGCCTTTCGCCAAGACCCCAGCCCTGGTGGTCCGGAGAATGTGGCAATTCATTATTTACCAGTAGGTTGCGGTGTTTCAAAGGAGGTGCATTTTTGAAAGAGGTGAGAATGCTTGATACCAGTGTTCTATATAGGGGCACGCTAAGGAAATCCATGTGGCCGAAATTTTTCGGCGCCCTCTACTATGGCGTCGCTCATAACCATATCGTGGCTTAGTGGTGCTTAACCCAGTAAGTTATCAGTATTATTATCTGCTTAAGATGGCGGAAATGCGAAACCATTCTTGTTGTTCTTCCTGGTTCAATGTGACCAGTGACAACGTCAACCGTTGACGTCATCAAGTGGCGTCAAGGTGACGCCACGATGAGGTTATATTGGGCCATGGTAAACAGATCACTTTTTTTACATGACTCGTGCCAGCGCCACCAACGGTCTGAATTTCTGTTTGATGAGGGTAATACAAGGCTTTCACCTTAAAAGTATGCAATTCTTTCAACGAATCAGAACGTATGCACAGTAAACATGACAGTGCTCATGCGAGCGCATGGTCATCCAGCTTGGCCAAAACTGTTTGACAACGCGAAACAACTCGAAGTCGTCATTGTGCATCGGGATGCCTCAGGATGGACAGAATACTTGCATAAACAGTTGGAGAAATGCACATTATAGTACACAAAAGCTTTTTGCGTGGCCTGGCGCGAAGTTGCTACTATTTCTCATATTCTCTGGGAGTGCGAGTCACTGGACCGGATGTTCACTGACGAAGAATGCGACATGCTCTTGCGAAGTCCCGTCTATGACGAACAAATTCTGGCCCCCTAGGGTGCTTTTGATCGGGCCGGTAGGCTACACCTGGCGGTCTCACCGTGGAATTAGCCCAGTGCGCGTTTTATCACTTTTTGCGGTGCCAAATAACATTTTATGCACTCACTCATTCGCTGAAATACACGTGACATTATCGTTTTTTTTTCTTCTTCCCAGGCAGGTGAACTTTTTCTTTGTGAAAAGCAGCGACTGCCTCGAATTTCCACAGCTTGCCCGGCTGAACGTATCAACGACCATGGACATGTCTGATGTAAGCACACCACTGCTGTCTCGTCCGGTTCAGCATGGGCAGTGAAATACCCGCATAAGAAAAAAACATATTAGAAATTAACTCCCATATAACATTTCTCCAACGAATGCACCGGACGTCTCTATTTCATGATCTCTTGTAATATACTCTCTCCCTCCCTATCATTGCCCCAACCTCTTGCTGATGAAGAGTGTTAAAAATTATAGGACCCTAATTTTCACCCTTAGGAGTTGAATGCCACAGAGATGTCCTATTTTTGGTGCGTACTTCAAACACTTAGTGCATGACACTTCTTCGAACTTCCTATGCACCCACCACATAGCCTTAAGGGCGCAATAACGTGTGTGCCTTTCGTAGTGAGTCACTGCCTTTAAACCACGAAGTCATTATGCTAAGCACATGTTCTGAAGCCTGATTGCATGGGCGCCTGGACCACGCATTACTATTGCAATATTTTATGCTGTATTGTGAAGCATGTATACGGGACGCGGATGTTTGTAAAGCATGTGGGACTTTCCCTGAATTTCCGTGCAGAGGAAGTTATTTTCAATGGACTCACAACCAAACGCATTGCTGTGTGGTAGAACATCCGTTTCCCACGCAAACCTGGGTTTTGTCCCCACAATCACCCAGGGCTTCTTTTTACTTTATTTTTATGGTTTTAGATGTTTCGGCCACGCATAATTTGATAATTTTTCGCTCACAACCAACGACGCTGACGCGGAGACCAACGCCAAGGCTTTAATTCCAGCGAAATGAGCTCCGCGTTAAATAAGAATGAGCAGACGCATATTTTATTTGCGGTATTTTAATGCGCAGCTCTCTCTCGTGACTACGTCACCTTTGGTTCACGTTCGTATGTTTTGCAAAACTATTTTGTATGCTTCTGTATATATTATAGATCTCTCAAGCTAAAGCCCTCTCGCTGTTGTAATGATGCTCATACTGTCATCCGTCTGGGCTCTCGGTAAATCTGTTCATGAAATTTCTATGTAAATAACCCTTCAGCAGAAATACATAGGATGCATTCAGTCACTACGCAGCTTCGCCATTAAATCATGCAGGATATGTTTGTTACGGACGTTCAATGAAGCTGTGCGTCATTGTCACGTCGTTGCCGAACAAAATTTCACGCTGAGTGCATTTAGGCTATGGTGTTTTGCTACTGTATACTATTTTTTCTACTGTTTCTTTTTTCCTATAGTATGACGAATTTTTTTTATGACGAAGCATTTAACTTTGCCCATTTTCGCGTTCCTCTATGCTTGGCCGCTAATAACAAATTGATTTATACGTAATTTCAATATGCTTTCCGAGATGATGATTGAAGTGATGAATGAGAACTTCATTAAAGGCCAGTGGTGATATGGTTGAATCATACCCAGGTTTCGGGATCGCTAATCCTACATTGTCATAGTGCGTCAGGCGTGTATTTTTTTCCGATTAGCCCTTGAATTCGGCCACTCCAAAGAGGTCTCCACCAACGCAGCATGAAGCTGCGATTACCAGATGTCAGGTTGAAAGAGCGTGTATCATTATTATTATTATTATTATTATTATTATTATTATTATTATTATTATTATTATTATTATTATTATTATTGTTGTTGTTGTTGTTGTTGTTGTTGTTGTTGTTGTTGTTGTTGTTGTTGTTGTTGTTGTTGTTGTTGTTGTTGTTGCGTTATGGCCATTGGTTTTTATTGTGATTCCGCATTATCTAGGCATTTATATCGGCACTTGTCATGCAAGACAGTGTCTTTCGCATCTGTATTCGCTTGAACAAGCGAATCTCAGTTCAACCAGACATTCATGCAACCAAATAACTTGCCTATCCAACTGTCTTCAATGTATCAAGGATTGGCTATATTCATCACGTTATTGTTCCCCTATCTCGCAGATTGACAGAATAGAACTCATGGTGAAAAGGGGAGCCGAGCGCACGAGAATTGTTCTGGAAGTCCCTCTGTCAGGTCGGACCTACTCGGTCACGAGTACGGGCTCGGGTAGGCGCACTGTATTCCCCGGGCCAGCGGGTAAATACACCAAGCAACAAGGATTCTTATCGTCGTTCGAGGTGAGAAAAGGCAGAATGGTTCGGCTGGTACATGGTCGGAAGCCTAGAATTAGGACACTAGTGGTGCATGTTTTACGAGTAATACGAAGCCCAAGTTGATAGTACCCTCTTATAGTCTTCTTGGCATTGCGCGTATAATTCGCCGTGAAACCAACTTCAAGAAGATCGAAGTTAGCTTAGTTCTTGTAAACTGGTTTACTCAAATTATAAAAAAATTTTAAACTGTATAACCCCAATTGTTGTTGTAATGCAGCATAATTATGAATAAAAATTTACCCCGATTGCATCTGCTGCAAAATCTGCAGAAACAGCAGAGCTGCTGTTCTCCTGTGTTCTCCTTGTGATTACCGCTTTGTCCGCGACCGAGGCAGTTGGGCCATTTTTGGGTGTACCTGGAAAACGGGGCTTCGCCAGCGCTCTCACTGATCTCTCCTCTGAGCCAGCGCTACAGCAGCTCTACTTCTAAAAGCCGTACGCACATGTCGCGAAGCGCAAAATTCGGTCTCGTTGGTGTTTGCAGTTAGCAAACGTCCTTGAATGAGCCATACCGGCACATCGATGGCATACCAGCAGCTGTGGTTCTAGAAAAACGTTTGTTTCTTGAAATTACGGTCAGATGGCGTCTATATATAATGCAGCGCCTACTCACAGCAACCCACGCCAATGGGATCCAACACTAAGGATCCAACTCACCGATGTACTAGCGCAGAACTTCAAATAAACGTTTTATTTTCTCTCTGAAGGCAGAAGGCTATCGTCTTTTGACGACCTTTGCCAGCGAAGGACTCAGATACAAGGCCGATTTCTCTTTTTTTTTTTTTGGAGGGAGGGGGGAGGGAGGACAAACGCATTTTGATATGTATTTGCTTATATTTACCCCGGACACATCTTTTCTTTTGCATGATAGCTTTCATCGTGATTTGTCAACAATCATGAAACTTTACGAATTTACCCATCAATGTAGGTTCCCATACCTTATCACAGTGCTACAATATAAAAACATACACGACACGGCCACACACAAAGGAAGAGTTTATCAAGATGCCCATGCAGGAAATATTTTTTGTTGTTGGGTTTAGTACCCAGGTGTGTACCAGAACGTCCTACTGAGCACGAGTACTGACCCATAAGCTCGGCTCTCTGTTGTTGTAAAATGTCTTCCAGGTTTGCGACCATCTTCTAAGCGGTTGGCAGCAATGGCGCTCAAGTCCAGATTCCTGTCCGTATCTGAAGGACGACGAAGACTACGTGACCTACGAGGATGAAGAGAGCATTCGTAACAAGGTTAGAATATTTTTCCCGTACATGCAAAAACACGTAATGTAATAGCTACAGATGCTTCCGTGAATGAGGAAACAACAGGTGTGGGCATCTGCCGTCTGCCTGTCGCTTCGCTGGTCATTCGCCGTGTGGCTACCCCGGTTTCAGTGCGGTTTTTGAAGCTCAAGCTCGTGGCTACCATCCTGGCTGTGCAAAAACTTTCGACAGATGACGGCCGGGTGGTAAAAGCTGGTTCACTGTCGGTAAGCAAAGCTCTTTCAGCCTCACAAAGCTATCATGCTCTCAACACGTTACGGTCGTTAGCTCCGTCTCAGCTCAAGCGCCCAAAGTTAGGACGGATGAACTCGTGCTTAGCATATCTTCAATTCCCACTGTACGTGGGACCTGGCATTTTATAATTTTGTTTTAGGTCTCCAAACGTATTCAAATAACATTTCAAGTTTTAATCTACTCATCTTTGGTCAATCCCCGAGAGCACGTGCGTGTGTGATGGAGTTCTTAGAAATATTTGAATTAGACGGACTTCATTGCGTCACTAACCACAACGTCCGTAAGAAAGACGGCGAGACTGCTTTCTGTTTTCCCTCACTTTATCAAAAAACACACGAACATGAAACACACAACACGTACTAATGGCAATAAAACAATCCACATCCTATTCAAACAGCCCTAAGCAGTCGCAGCTAACAGAGTAAAGAAAACATTATAATTCAATCAACCAAAGGAACAAGCAGGATTTCGAACAGGCTAGTCACCAATTGACCACATTCATGCTATCAATCAGGTAATATAGAAATGCTCAGAGTATAACCAACCACTATACATAGCCTTCATAGATTACGAGAAGGCGTTCGATTCAGTAGAAATATCAGCCGTCATGCAAACACTGCGGAATCAGGGAGTAGATGAAGTATATATAAACATTCTGGAAGAAATCTACAGGAGATCAACTGCTACCATAGTGCTTCATAAAGAAAGCAACAGAATACCAATCAAGAAGGGTGTAAGGCAGGGGGACACAATTTCCCCAAAGCTATTTACCGCGTGCTTACAGGAGGTTCTCAGAAGCCTAGAATGGGAACAGTTAGGGATAAGAGTCAATGGAGAATACCTTAGTAACCTGCGCTTCGCCGATGACATTGCATTGCTGAGTAACTCGGGGGACGAATTGCAACTCATCATTACGGAGTTAGACGAGGAGAGCAGAAAGGTGGGTTTTAAAATTAATCTGCAGAAAACGAAAGTAGTGTACAACAACCTCGGCAAGGAGCAGCGCTTCGAGATAGGTAATAGTGCACTTGAAGTTGTAAAAAACTATGTCTACTTGGGGCAGGTAATGACCGAAGAGCCGAACCACGAGATTGAAGTAACTAGAAGAATAAGAATGGGGTGGAGCACATTCGGCAAGCACTCTCAAATTATGACAGGTAGATTGCCACTATCCCTCAAGAGGAAGGCATATAACAGCTGTATCTTGCCGGTACTTAGCTACGGAGCAGAAACCTGGAGACTTACAAGGAGGGTTCAGCTTAAATTGAGGACGACGCAGCGAGCAATGGAAAGAAAAATGGTAGGTGTAACCTTAAGAGACAAGAAGAGAGCGGAGTGGATTAGGGAAGAAACGGGGGTTAAGGATATCATAGCTGAAATCAAGAAGAAGAAATGGACATGGGCAAGGCATGTAGCGCGTAGACAGGATAACCGTTGGTCATTAAGGGTAACTGACTGAATTCCCATAGAAGGGAAGCGGGTTAGGGGGAGACAGAAGGTTAGGTGGGCAGATGAGATTAAGAAGTTTGCGGGTATAAATTGGCAGCAGCAAGCACAGGAACGGGTTAACTGGCGGAGCATGGGAGAGGCCTTTGTCCTGCAGTGGACGTAGTCAGGCTGATGATGATGATGATGATGATGATGATGATGATGATGATGATGATGATGATGATGATGAAGCAGTCGCATAAACAAGTCTAGTTCACACTTAACCAAAAGACTCAGACCCGTCAGTGCTCCTACTGGTAGGCGTCGGGGACGTACACGGGGAGCAGACACCAGCACGGGGATGCTGTCGTCGGAGGAACTCGGCAAGGAGGAGGGTGACGCTCAGGCGTATGCACCGACACATTAGGTAGGTGTCGAAGACAGGGCCGACGAAGTCAGGCAGTCTGCTTCTCGGACGCACGACCAGGGGCCACAGCCAGGGACTCGGGCAAACGCCTGACAGTGGACCTGGTGGCTACGGTGACTTCCCACTCGCTCCGTGGACTATCGAAGCTTGAGGTCAAGCGAAACACCAGTCACCATTGAGTCAACCCATTGAGTCAATCAGCTCAGTCACCAGCTCAGTCACCATTGAGTCAACCACAAGTTGCCTCGACATTCACCAGACGCAAACGAAGCGACAAAGTGTTCTTGTCTAACGCCGCCTTCTCGCGAGCCTTCTTCGCCTCATGCTCTTGTGCACGCACCTCGCGCTTTTCCTGCCTTCATCGGCCTAATCTTTGGCAACTACCTGCTTCGTGGTGCCTAAATCTGAGCATCTTGCTATTCGCCGAATTCCTGTGGTACCGACATTCCCACGTTTCATCTCGTCTGAGTGGACGCGCTCCGCATAAGCCTCAAGCAATCACTGGTGCGGCACTCTCGTGGTAGAACTCATCGTGTGCTTTGCTTTTCAAGGTTTTCTTTTTCTGCGTGGCATCGGGTTGTGTTTCTGTATAGGGTCTTTGCTGCGTGTCTATTTTGGTGTGTTGTTTTGATACGGGGAAGGAAACAGAAAACAATCCTCACAGTCTTTCTCACGGACGTTGTGGCCAATGATGCAATGAAGTACGTGAAGAACCCCGTCAGAACGTGCCATAGTTTCTGAAGGCAAAACTAACAAACAAAACGGCTTCGCGTATTCATACGATATCAATTTTTTTTTCTTTTTCGCAACCCTCATTGAGTAAGCTCAGACCCCTGAAGACGCCAGGAGGAGCAGTTGTGAAAATGAAATAGGTTAGCTTGGCGACAGCTAATTGTTCAGGTCCTGTAACTTTTATAAAAGGCATATTCACTGTCAACACCTGCCCCATCGCTTACCGTTGCGAAATCATTCAATATACAATATTATGCACGCGTATCTTCCCTTGGTGTCCGTTTCCGCGATAGGAGAATGGCACTACCCAAAATCGAACACCACCTATACCATTAGGAACACCAAAAGAACAAAATGACCTCATCCTAACCCTCCCAACCCCCCCCCCCCCAAAAAAAAACTGAAAGATTCAAGTTGGGGACATTGTGGGGAAGTTATGCGCGCCACATTAGATAAGGTGGACGTTCGGGGAAACATGGAAGTCTGAACGTATGAAAGGTCTTCATACATGGGGAATGCCGTTGTAGGCAATGTTTCTACAAGGGGAATGCCGTTGTAGGCAATGTTTCGACAAGTTTTGTTGCTGCTGCTTCCTAAAAGAAGACCATTTGGCGAGACGGTGGCTCCAACGACAGACTATGTTTAGGGATTTTTCGTAACTCCAGGCTAAAGACGAGTATTGTGCAACTGACGAAGATAACCTGATACGAACAGCCCTTCTTGGAGACGCAGGTTATAAATTTACGTTCAGAAATAAAAACTCAAGTGCGTCCCATGTTACATTGCACTTGAGGAAAACATTTAGGGCCCGAACACTGGTTCTTTTGACGTGGTATACTTGCTTTTTTTCGTTTGAATACTCGGATATTCTATAAGTCGTGCATGCGTATCTAGTCCTGCTCTGTCGCGATCATCTATTATAATTTCAAAGATGGGATCAAGTGCATAAGAGCGCGTAAAGTGCATTACTATGGGCTACGTACCAGTTGGTAAGCTGCAAGAGAAATTTCATTAGTAGGTGTGCACTCTAAGAAAAACAGATGCCTAGATAGCTGGGCAAGTTTGTTTGGATTCATGGTAAAAAGTTGTAGCGCAAAAAAAAACAAAAATGGAGCATAGAAAGAAGGCGTGTTTCGGCATTTCTTCTTGTGTGTCCATTTTTTTTTTCACGCTGCTCGCTACCTAAAAAAAGACACTGTATGCGTTAGTCTTTTCGGTGAGCCTTGATTTTCCACAAATATGACTCTCTTGAAGCCGCCTCATCAACTCTGTTTTGGGTGCCACTACTCTCCGGCAAGAGCATGTTAATCTCCAAAGAGAGTCGGTCTGTCTTCTAAAAGACAGACAGGAGTGAAAAAGGAGAAAAGGTACCTTACTTCTTCTTTAGGTAGGGAGGCTTTCCGATCGGCGTGAAATAGTTTGATCCTAACCGAGTTATTCTGCCCACAACGAAGGCCTTATACTTGGGTTTTTATTACAAGTTTGCCATAAGGTGCATTTCTGTTTTATTCAGCTGATAAGTGCCTTAATTAAATTCGTCAAGTACATCGTAGTTGAAAGTTAACGGATAATGTTGAAGAAAGCATGCCGATGTCGCTAGCATCTAGAAAAGTGCCGTAATTTAATGCGTCCATTGTGATAAGTTATCAATCATTGGCGTCACTCCTCTTGCTACATCGCAGGCAAGCATGATCATCGGTCGCAAGTTCAGAGGCGCGGTTGTCAGGAGTGTCGACCTGGACGACTGCAATTCAAAATGCACGGGAAAGTCCAACCTGGTCAATATGCTTCGCTCCAGCTTTGACACAGCAGCGCCTGACAAGGACTACCCTTACAATCCACCGACGGCCTCATGGTGGGACGAGGACATTTTCAAACTGATGCCCACCACCGCACCGCCTCCGAAGCAGACAACGACAAAACCACCTGAGGTGCCGACGTGGACTCACAACAAAGAGCCAGCGAGCACGATTATTCCTACAACAGGCCAGTCAGTGACGTCGTCTGTTACGGTACCTGCCTCGAATGACCCGCGAATGATTCCGAGTACAACCGAGAAGGTGCCGCCTGCCATAAGAACCAGCACGCCCGCTATCGGTGAAGAAGTGACAGCGACAACTGCTCAATTGCCTTCAAAATCATCGACTCTGGCAGTTACGGAGGCAGTGACGTCATTTGTTACGGCACCTGCTTCAATAGACCCGGGATTAGTGCCCAATACACACGAGAAGGTGTCACCTGTCGTACAAACCAGCAAGCCCGCTATCGGTGAACAAGTGACAGTGACAACTGTTCAATTTCCTTCAAAATCATCGGCTCTCGCAGCTACGGAGGAAGCCACGTCATCCATTATGGTACCTGCTTCGAAAGACCCGGGAATGGTGCCGAGTACACCAGGGAAGGTGCCACCTGCCATAAAAGCCAACACAACTGCAATCGATGAAGAAGTGACAGTGACACCTGCTCAATTGCCTTCAACATTGTCGACTCTCGCGGCTACAGAGGCAGCGTCTTCATTCGTTACAGCACCTGCCTCAGAAGACCCGCGAATGGGGCCGAGTACAACCATGAAGGTGCCGCGTGCCATAAAAACCACCACGCCCACTATCAGTGAAGAAGTGACAGTGACACCTGCTCAGTTGCCTTCAAAATCATCGACTCTCGCGGTTAAAGAGGCAGCATCGTCAACCGTATCAGTACCTTCCTCGAATGGCCCGCGAATGGTGCCGAGTACAACCGAGAAGGTGCCGCCTGCCGTGAAAACCACCACGCCCGCTATCGGTGAAGAAGTGACAGTGACACCTGCTCAGTTGCCTTCAAAATCATCGACTCTCGCGGTTACAGAGGCAGCGTCGTTATCCGTATCAGTACCTTCCTCGAATGACCCGCGAATGGTGCCGAGTACAACCGAGAAGGTGCCGCTTGCCGTGAAAACCAGCACGCCTGCTATCGGTGAAGAAGTGACAATGACACCTGCTCAGTTGCCTTCAGAGTTATCGACTCTCGCAGCTACAGAGGCAGCGACGAAAAAGAGTACCGATAAAATCTGCAGAGAAGACAATGAAAATGCCCTGATGCCGCACGAGTCCGATTGCACCAAATACTATCACTGCGCGAATTCTAAACCACACCTCCAGAACTGTGCCCGGGGAACTGTGTTCGACATTGAGCGGCAGATATGCAACTGGCCGGCGATGACAAACCGACCCGAATGCAAGGAACGGAAGGAAAATAGGAGGAAAATAATGGCAGGGAGGTTAACCAGCCTTTAGGCGGCCGGTTTGCTACCCTGCGCATGGGAGGGAAATGGGGGAGAGGAAAGATAGAGAGCAGAGAGGGAAGAGAAATAAACCCAGCACATTTGGCAGCACACGCGCACACGCAAGCTTTCTTGATTGGCTAAAGCGCATGAGTGACTGTCTTGTAAACGTCACTGAAGCTATTTTGCAAAATCTTGCCCTTTAATTTTCTTAATAAACCGTGTTACGTCACTGTTACATTCGTTGCACATTTGTACGAGCCGTAGTATTCTTCCAAGCCATTAAGTGGAACGGCTTGGACTCACCAGCACAGTTGGTGACAAAACACTTCATTCGTCCTCTTTTGATTTTTTTTTTCATTAAACACAAGAAAATGCGAAGTCTATTTTCAAAATCTTTCATCTAGCAGCTAGAGTACTAACCGAAAGTAAATATGGTTATGTCCAACATTATATTCGGAAAGATTCCATCCCCTGCTCCTAGCAGCCCACCATTACAGGAAACTACGAGCCGTGACCGCTTGATCTGTGAAAACAGATTTCATAAAACACTGTTTCAGTTCAAGCACAACGCAGCCTCTACAAACGATAGGTCGTCGAACTCACTCGTGACTCGACTCACTCGAACTCAGATCGAGCCATTAATCTGAGTAAGTACGAGCAAGTAATATCGTCATGAGTCTGACTCCCAGTAAATCCAGTTGAACAAAATTTTTCTGAGTGCGAGTCTTAATCAGTATGGCTAAGTAAACTTTTGGTGAACATGAGTCCAAAGTGAGTCCAAAGTGAGATATCTATATCTTGAGTTAGTCTAGGGGAGTTCCACTTCCTTTTGCCGACCTGAGTGTACGACAACATAATATTTGCATATTCGCATTAAGGAATTGTGCCTAAAGGGCAAGTATTTAAAGCAACAGAAAATAAAAAAGTTAATTTAATTGTTGAATAGCCAGATGACTTCATAATATCCTACGTTTGCGACTGAGGTAAGATTGTCGATCATGTGTCCGCATAGCAAGTTTTTTTTTCGTCACAGTACTGGTTCGAAGACCGCTGTTCACGTACATGTCATGCATGAGCTAACCAACAAAGAAAGACATATGTTAGCGAATTCTATCTTAATGAAAAAAAAACAATTATGCGCACGTTTGAACAAACTGGTCATGTATATTTCCACTGACCACGATCACAATATTTCCATAAGTAGAGGAAATGCTTTTGTCAACTTGTGTCAGCTTTCAAAATAAAGGATTGTTGAAAGAACTCACACGTAATTATTATAGTCAAGTCTATTGCACTTCTTTGAAACGGTGACATAAAGCGGTCCGCAGCTCCACCAAGATTGATATTCATATCATTTTTCTAAGCTTCGGAGATCCTCATAGGCCTTGTCCCCTTTCACTGAATCGCAAGTTTTTGTGAAAAATTCTTACTTTGTAAAGTGTTTTCACACTTCGCCAAGAAATAATTTAGCGTAAGGCACAAACGATTCCTCGCGGGAGTGAAATTTCATGCACATATAATCAGTGTATTTGCCAGTGTACGCAAATTACTCATAAGTTTCAGGAAACAACGTATTCAGTGAAGAGGTGGTGTGTTTTGTTGTAAACTTCTTGTAAGAAATTCCACGGCCGTTTTTACAGATATTCCGTCAAAATTTGTGGCTATCCTGGTAATACTGTGGAGGAGATAAGCCATTAACTACCCCGTCTGTAGCGCCAACGTGCAAGTGTCTAAAGGAGCACAAAGATAGATGATTCACTTTATATCCGTTGTCTACCCGGGGCGCGAGCATGGGCTTAAATGTTCACCGCTAATTTCCGCTTTCATATAACCACCAACTTGAAGATGCAAAATAAACAAGTAAACGAAAAAACTGTTCCCGAGTACAGTGAACTCTGAAGGCCCCCTAAATTGTGCTAAAGGCTTTCCTTGTAGCTGCTGAGTGAACTAACTTCCTTCAGATCTTGGGTACGCCGGTACAAGTACTGCCACCTCGTAAAAAATTTTGTAGCCAAGATTTCCCCTCTCTTTGTATCCTTGTTTCAGTCTGTCTGCGTTCCAGTCTCTTCTTCCTTCTTTACCTCGCTCTACTTGTTGTCTCACTCACCAGGTATACTAGCTGGCTAGATACCGTATAGACGTCACCGTGTCAAAGACGCAGCGGTGCGTGGAGCGGAGGCTCCGAAAGGCAAGTTCGCGAAGCCGAGGCAACATGGTAGGAAAAGGGTTCATGGTACCTGAGAGCACCAAGGGTCGCTCCAAGGAATGCCTGAAGGGGATGATCACGCATAAACAGCTTCGGCGTACGGTCATTTCCACGCCTTGAATGAGCCATAGGCTTTCTTCCTCTGTAACTATCTCTTTCGAGTCATGAGTAAAGGTGCAGCACGGTTAAGCAATAGGACGTCTACTGCAATTGAAAACAATTTCAGAAACCAAGGTGCATCCCGGCTGGCCCACTTACGTCGCCCATACAGTAACACAAGACGCATGAACTATTATGTTATTATTATTATTATTATTATTATTATATATTATTATTATTATTATTATTATTATTATTATTATTATTATGTAATATTATTTGAATCGCTGGTATGGCGCCGTTACTTGGCTTACTGGCGTTCACGCTGTGCAGATGCCGGCGCATAGATGAACGCTAAAGACGCATGCCTTTTGAGTGGAGGAGCCAGGTTCAACTCCCAACACCGTATGAGAGTTTATTTTTTAATGAACAAAAACGATAGGTTTCAAAGTTTTTATTGTTTATTTCCATTCTAGGTGACTTAAACACGGACACATACGCAATTTTAGTCGTTGGTTGCGTTAGGTGCTGACGCTCTACACATCATCGCTGCAGAAGGATAGACCATTCCACAAGGTTTTCAGCGGAGCCAAGGAATGCGACAATGCACTCAGTTCATTTGATCAAGCAAACGTCTGACCACATACCCCATTCCTTAGAGTCCTCAGGGCATTGGTGTTTACAATAGGAAAAACATGAGGCAAGGGCTCCTCTAATTCTGGCTTCCCCGCAGTATATGGAACCAGCGAAAAAAAGTTGGGGCCCTTATCACCCCTGATAAGAATAAACTTTGTTCTGACGTCACACCTTGTCACGTGGGCGTATTGTACGTTTGTTTCAAACTAAAGGTTCCCCTGAGAAGCTGGCTTCCCCGCAACTCATGTTAAAAACCGGTGAAAGATTTTCAGGCTCTTCTC